CCGGCGGCGCTCCCATCTGCCGCAGCTCCATCTCGATCGCCTGCAGGAGACACACGGTCAAGGCAGCCTGCTCAGCCCCCTCCCCAGCCCACTGCATCCCAGCCCATTCACTATTTTAACAAGCGGGAACCTCTTTCCTCCTGGGACACAGCTAACGCCTTGCTCCCTGGCTGTCACAGGAAACATTTTGTGTTATTACCAACTGGCGCTCTGCGGAGGTGCCCAGGGACTGGTCTGGAGCTCTGGTCTAACCCTGGGTACAGCAAGAGCCCGGTTCCACTGGTGGGCAGCAGCAGCAATAAAAGTATCTCAGGGCCTTTTGGCCACAGCATGGCCAGGAGCAGAGCAGGGAAATCTCTGCACAGCCCACGCCAACCCCGCGGCACACAAACCACACAGAAGCAGAGGCAGATTTGTTTTTCCTCTTGATTAACCTGCCCTATTCAATTAAGCCTTCCCTGCACACGTCCACAGTCCATTGACAGTCTGTGTGCCACAGGCTGTACCTTCCTCCTTTCCATTCTGTGCCCCATCTTCCTCCCAGCTCCTGACAGCCGCCTCAGCCTGTCCCCACAGCCGGCACGAGCACCACAGGCCACCACGACCGAGAGCTGTGCCCCAGGGTCAGCCCCACCACGAGCCTGGCACCCACACGCCGGTGCCATGCCTCGGTGCCACCGTTTCAGGAGCCTCACACACGGGGATGAAGGCGCCCCGTTCGGTTCCCACACCTGGTGCGCAGCTCCCCAGCTGGCCCTACCTTAGCGTGGGCTTTTGTCTCTGCAAATTTAATCTTGAAGTCAAACATCTCGGGAGGAGGCTGCTGCTGTTTCTCAGCAGATGCTTCTTGCTGACTCATCAGTTCTCGGTTCACGTCCTGAGCACAGAAAGAAGCTGCGATAAGCCACACGGAGCACCAGCGCAGAGGAGAGCTGTAACCCCACACCCTCTGCAGTACATCCACACCTAACCCCTCGATGCCCCCTTCCTCGGGGAGGGTCGGGGGAGCACCGGGGGCTCATTGTGCAACATGCACAATGATGGATGGAACCAAGGGAGAGGAATGCAAGTGCTTTCCAAATGCTCGGCTGACAGCACGCTGTTTTAAAGCCAAGGAATCCACACAGACTCATTACCCACCTCCTTTCACTGCCAGCAAGGCCCAGGAGAACCAAGCCCAGTGCTGGAACAACCCCACACTATTCTGGTTTTTCCAGGACTCGGTTTCCAAGCCTGGAGCACAAGCAGCACAGCACAGCGAAAGGCTGCAACAGCTGTGTGCTCAGAAGTATTTAGTGCTGACTTCAGCAGGGGCTCTGCCAGCGAGACCCATCTGGACACAGGCAGAAGGACAGGCAGGGCTGTCAGAGGTCACAAGAAGTCCCCAGGAAAGCTCAGCGAGGAACCAGCTCTCAGGCATCAGCCATCTGTGTTCTACCCATCGCCCCCGAGAGCAGGAGGGTAGCCTGCCATCTCTGCCCCCAGGGACCACCTCCTCTGGGAACGCTCTTGCCTACATGTGCTTGCTCTCCTCGTCACCCAGGTGGGCTCCCAGAGGAGCACGGATGGCTCCAGTGGGAACTGGCCCACGGTGGGCACCAAAGGGCCGCACCTGAAGGTGTGCCGTCAGCTCTCTGTATTTTTTGATGGTCTGCTGGTAGTCAGCCACGGTCTCCTGCGCAGCCTCCACACGCTTCTCTGCCTCGCGGACCCGCGCCGTCGCCATATCCAGCTGCTCCCGTAACTCCAGCTCTGTCTCCCGGGCGTTTTCCTGCAGCTCGTCATTCATCTCGTTCATGGCTTCCTGGCAAGGGAACAGGACGCGGTTACACCATGACCTAGCAAGCGAGGGCAGGTGGGCACTTTCAGAGTAGGGCAGAGGAGCACCTCGGGGTGTAAGGGGCATATTCTGCAGAGCAGAAGGGTGCACTGCTTGGAAGCGGCATTGAGCACAATGCCTGTAGAGGAGTTCCCCAGTTCCCTCTGGCACCACAGCCAGGCAGTTCCCAGTGCCTCGGGCAGCCTCACCGCCAGGCAGGCAGCGGGACCAGCCCTTGCATCAGCCCAGCACACGCCAGGCACGAAGGCAGCGGCACAAGCCCTCCAGTACCAGCCCTCCCTCCAGAGGAGTCCGTCTTACCAGGTCTCCAACAGTCTCACGCAGCTCCCGGACCTTCTCCTCCAGGTCTAAGTTTCTCTCCGTCAGAGTCTCCACCATCTCTTCAGCACCCAAAGCAGCATCCACCTGCAAAAGCACACACCACATCACACTCCAACCCGGAGCTCAACACGCTGCAGCAAGCAGCTCAAAAATCCTTTTATACCACTGTGGGATCACTCTGCCAAGCTGTGGGACACGGCTGATAAATCCGTTTCCCCATCCTGGGGAGCCAGCAGCCTCAGAAGGAAGGGCACATGAAAAGAAAGGCTTGGCTTTGGCTCTTGGAGATGTTACTGGCTCTTTAGCTGCAGCATCAGGGCACAAGGTTGAACAGTTTCGGGTCAGCATAAATGATGCTGACCTTCAGGTCGATTCTTCGCAGACTTGTGACAGTGCTTTCCAAGCTCCCTGTCCCCCTGAGGACCTAGGGGAGTGCTCATATGCTTACAGTATTAAAGGAGGAATGGGCATCTCAGTCTCTTTGCATTAAGTAGCATCGCCCCTGCTAACAGCCCACCTCCCACGTAACTCCGGCTAATGCGCAGAGAGCGTGAGGCCAGCTTCTCTCAGAACAGCAGTTTGGTGGAATTGCACAGGCTGCTCTGCAGTGAACGTAGATCCTCCCTGGGGGCTTCCTAAGGGCTGCCCCACACCTGCACCGACGTCTCAGCCTGGCCAGGAATAAGGCTCATGAAGGTCATCCAAGCAGGAAGATGGGATGGATCAGCACTGAGCAAGCAGCAAGCACAGATCAGCCTTGGAAAGCACGACACAACATCCACATCCTATGTCCAAGAGCCACCCCATGGCCAAGCCGAGTCCAGCACAGTTCCACTGCTGGAACAGGGTGTGCTTTTGCACAGGGACACAGCAGTACTAGTCCCTGCGATGGTATCACCGAGCGTGGCTCTCCAAGAGCGACTGACAGAAAGCGCTCTGTGCCAGGAGGTGACCATGGCTCACCTGACAGCTCTTGCTCCATGCCCCAAACGGTCTCAAACTTCCCCTCCCCACCTGTCCTTCCCCAATGGACTCACCTGTTCCTTTAGTTCATCAACCGTTTTCTCTGCCTGCTTCACCTCCTCCTGAAGCTTCTCCCTCTGCTGACGCAGGGACTCCAGCTCTGTGTTTTTCTTCTCCATTTGCTTCTGAAGCTTCACATGCTCCTGCTTCTCTGATGCAGACAAGTCCCGCATCCTTTGACAGAGCAACCAGACCCATCACGACCCCAGCAGAGACCCAGGTACTAGAGCAAGAGAAGTCGTTCCCTTCCCAGACATTGCTCTTGGTGGGCACCAGCAGAGTCAGGGCCCCCCGCCCACGCCGGCGCCTAGGGGCCCATCGGCAGCGGGAGCAGAGCTCCAACAGAGCCTCTGGCAGTCCCTGCCCGGTGGGGACACGAGCAGCGTCCCCAGAAAACAGCCCATTAACAGCGAGGGATGGGGTGAATCGGTGCCTGAGACGGCACCTGCGTTTGAATGAATGAGAGCAACAGGGGATGGAGAGGAGAGAGGGGAGAGGGGATGTGGAAAAAGAGGCAACAGAGACAGGCAGGAACAAATTACTGTAAATGGGGCAGGCTAAAGCACAGAATGGAAGAACCCAACGAGCAAAGAAAAATAAGTCACATTCACAGCCTTTCACAGTGTAAAAGAGAAGGTCAGCAGCAAAGAAAAGACAAAGCACAGAGAAGGAAAGGCGCTTCGTTACACACTGAGAACAGAGCTTTGCTTATGTGTACGTCCAGGCCCCTGCGCGAACAGCTCTGCTAACAGCCCCGAACTGGCTCTGCCCAGGGAGTGCAGGTGCTGGCAGCTCCTCTCACTTGGACCTTCTTTATACCTCCCCCCCAACACCCACTGCTTCGGAAGTCCTTGCAAGGCAGTTTCTTGTGTTTCCTATCAGGAGGGGACACTCCCACGTCCTCTCCCTGTTCCTGGCCTACAGGAATAACTGACTTTAAGCACAAGCTGTTCCCTGCACATGCTGAACCACAGCCACACGGGTTGAGCGAGGTGGGACAGCAAGCAGTGTGTGCTTACCAGAGGGACCCCACCTGAACCTCCAGGCTAAAGCACACGTGGCTCCCAGAAGGAAAAGCCACAAAGCCCCAAGCCCTGGCAGATGGGAAAGGCAACAACCAGGTCCCAGTGCCGAGCAGGGTCAAGAAACCTGAAGCAGTGTCTGGAGAACCTGTCCTGTACAGGCTGCTTGAATAAACCTGCAGCTGCACTGAAGAAGCAGAGCGCTGCATACACAGAGAAATGAAATACAGAAGCTTTCTGAAGAGGCTCATTTCCTCCCGATCTACACTGGTCTTCAGTGACAAAGAGATTCTGCCTTTTTTGTTGCATGCTTAAAGGGGCACCAGAGCTCAGAAACAACCCAAGACCAGCTAGCAGGTGCTACATCGGCTGCTCTGGAAAAGCATGTGGGTCTCTGACACAAACTGCTGTTAGATCAAGAGAGCATGAGATGCCGTAGGAAGGAGCTTCATCGGCAGCATCACAGCTTTTGGGGAGCACAAGTGGTCTCCTACCTTACAAGAGCTTCCTTGAGTCTCGCGTTTTGCTCTTCCAACTGTTTGACTTGATAACTGGATGCTGCTCCGTCCGAGCCTGCGATAGAAAGGAAGCATTATTCTGCTTGTGCAGAAATAGATCCACTTCTCTTAACGCTAAGTGACATTACAAACACCAGTAAGAGCACAGCTATGTCACACCAAGGGGAAACACATCAGTCCCTCTCCTGCAGCCAAGCAAAGCTGAAGCCTGCTGCATAACACTGGCACTCGTAGGCTGAGAGATTCCCCCGATGCCACCAAAGCCAGTTGGTGCAGACGAAGAACCACGGTACCAACCCGCAGTCTGTACCTGAGCAGCCGCTGGGCTCTGGCAGAGTCACATATCGCTGGACACCGTGAGTGTTCTCAGCTCTCAACCCTCCTGCCCTCACAATTCAGTGAAAGCAAACTCAAATCAAAGACGTTGCTCATCTCAGTAATTTCCACATCCCCTGCAGACTATTCCTGTCTTTCCCACATTTTCACAGTCCCTCAACACGTCTACCTTTCTGTCATGTCCCTCAGCCAGGCTGCCTGATCAGCTGCTCCTTCTACAGGTTCAATTTTGTTTTCAGGTGAATACCAACACTACAAGTGTTTAAAGGCTGGCTCATTTCCTGCTGTGTGTAATTTTTAAAGCTCACCTTGAATACCAAGAGCTAAAAGGGCCCCAGGGGAACCAAAACCAGGGTAATGCACTGGTTTTGAAGCTGTGCTCAGTGTAAAGCTGGGAGGTTGGATCAGTAAGCAACAAAAGCAGTTGTGTTACTCCCACATAAAGTCTGTCCCAGTCAAACACCTTTTGGGGCGGGATCCACTGTCCCCAGCGATGACAACCATTAAAACTAAGCCTGAGCTCCTCTAAGGCTAGGACAGGAACACTTGTTCCCCGACTCAAAAGCGCAGCAGCCCCATCTCTGCCTTCTCAGTGAGACCGGTACCCACGTGAGGATGAAACTGAGCTGCTGCTGACTTGCCCATGTGTGATGGCCGCACCTGTGCCGGCCGAGCAGGGCTGGGGACGTGGCAGAAAGCCCCCGAGGCTGCCGGGGGAAATCACAGAGGGAAAGCCTCAGTCCCACCACAATCAGCAGCGAGGAGGCACCACTGCTCCAAAGCAGTCAAGCGTTCTCCTCGCCAGTGAGGAGATCCCTTGTGCAGTGGGACCCAGGTTGAGACGATGCAAAAGCCGACCCCTTCCCACCTTTCTCTTCAATCTCATGCTTCAGGATCTCCAGGTCCATCGTGAGATATTCCACCTTCTCTTTTAGGGAGTCCACCTCCTGCTGCAGGGACTCTGCTCGCTCTTCTGCCATCTCCTTGTCCAGGGTTGCCATTTCAATGGCATCGGCAGTGTCTGCCATCTCCTCCATGTAGCGCTCCTTGGCTTCCAAGGCATCTTTGGCTTCCTGCAGTCAAGCACATGTGAGGTGAGGAGGCCCTGGAAGCCCACGGCCAACGATGGAGAGACCCCTCTCACCAACAACGAGCCTCAGACAATTATGTATCTCACAGCTCTCCCAAAGGAGTATCAAGCCCAATTAAGGACAGCTTATCTGGGCTGAGAGGGGAAGGCCCACTGCCAGTGCTCCAGGGTGCCCACCTCACCCCTCCTGGGGCCTCCCCCCTGCTTCACACCTTCTCCCATCCACAGAAGAGCCCAGCAGAAAAACCATCTGCAGGTGAGGAGAGAGATATGAAGACAGAAAATATGTAGGCTTGTGCTGGAGCAGACAATCAAATAAATCCCTGGGGAAAGAAACCAAGAATCCACCCTGGAAAACCAGGGCAGAGAGAAGCACAAGCTCCTTGGCCAGCAGGGCTGGAGTCCTGCCCTCTGCCCAGAGCAGGTCACCCGTCCCTGGGGAGAAAGGAAGAGGGAAAGCACCAGCCTGCAGCAGACATCGCAAATGACAGCCCAGGGCAGAGCGATGACAGCCCAGGGCAGGGCACAGCAAAGGCAGAGCTGCCACAGGAGAAATGTTCTCGATAATGAGCGACGCTAAGATTGGTTAGCTCCAAAGCCCTGTGGCTTTCACTGGCAGTGACTCATACCAACCAGCCCTGCAGGGTAGGAGCTCAAAATGTATTAGTTTAGCTAAAGGAAGAGGAGTTTTAACAAATTAAAGTCTACCTTAGACAGTCAGGATCAGGACCCTCCAGGAAGGCACTGGAGAGAGGAACCCACTCCAGAGCAGGCCAGGAAAGACACGGTGTATGGGGAAGGGAGCACCCATTTACACCCGGTCACCAGAGCACGCAGGACTGGCTGACATAGGCTGGGCGCCCTGCAGAACGACTAACACAACCCACACGCCGACCCCTGCCCACTCTGACCCCTGCAGATCATCCACTCCGACCCCTGCCCATTCCAAGCCCTGCCCAAGCAGGGGCAGCAGGGTCCAGCTGCCCAGGACCCCATCCATCACGGTTGTGCCTCACACATCCCCAGGGATGGAGACCCCAAACATCTCTGAGCAACCTGCTCCAGTATTTGGTCACCTTTACAGGAAAAAGTTTTTTTCTTAGGTTTAAACCAAGTTTCCTGTATTTTGGTTTGTGCCCCTTTCTTCTTGCACTCGAGTGGGCACCACAAAGAAGAGTCTGGCTCTGCCGCCTTTACTTCCCCCCAACAGGTATTTATAGACATCAGTAAGACCCCTCAGACGCCCCTCAGCCTCCCCAGGCACCTGCCACTGCTCAGCTCAGACGAGGCTCCAGAGGACTGGATCATCTAGCCACTGTTGAAGAACAGCGCCTGAGATGTTCCAGCTTGCTTCAGAGATTTGGTGCTGAATATCAACTCAGTACAACAAAGCAAAAGCTTATATTAACGCTGTATTTAAAACGAAACCACGTTGGGATGTAACTGCTTTAAGCCATGAGTACTGTACAGGAATATACTGCTCACTTTCCGAATATATCACTTTAATGTAAGGCAAAAGCAAGCAAGAGGAAGGACAAGCTGCTGCCTCACAAGCATTGGAGAATCAAAGACAAGTGCAGGGGGAAAAAAACTACCTTCCACCACACAGTTGTGGCAGTTTTAAAAATCGTTCAAGAGATTCAGGCGTTGGGACAGCGGGAAAGCTTTAGCCCTGCACAGTCAGCATCAGATCCCGCGGCATCACCAGTGAGCCTCTTCCTACAGGGCTGGCTCTTCCAGCCAGATCGCAAACCTCAATGCATGGCAACGCTCCTAAAGCTGCTGGGGTCCGCTGATTTTTGAAGTCAGTTGCGAGATCTCCAGGAGCTTTACTTAAGCTTTGGAAGGCAGGACTGGCAGTTTATCAGCAGGTCTGGAATCTGAATGGTGCCTCTCCCACAGTGCTGGCAGACCTGCACCAGCAGATTAAACCGGAGAAACGCGGCTGCTGCCACGCTCAGACACCCACCCTGCACATCGAGATGCGTGACTTGCTCTTTAACTATCACACTCTTCATCCCCATCTATTAAAGGAAACCACCTCTAACGTCAACTTATCTTACCCTGCACAAGACTGAAACTTGAGGAATCGACTCCTGGACAGACCAGACATTCCTGCCTCAAAGGCCAGGCTGTCTGACAGATGGGGCAGGCTGGCAGCAAAAAGCAAAGCAAACTCTGGGATGCCCAACATCTCCGGTGCCTTTGCAGGACTGTGCAAAGCCCACCCAAAGGCTCCGTCTGCTCTGACACCTACTGCGGTCAGAGGATGAAGCTGTGACTTCAGCTCCAGGACAAGGTGCATGTGCCACCGCCACGACGGACCAGACACAGCTGGCACCATGCTCGCACGCTGCATTAAACGTGTGGCACACACTGACTGCATCTGGGATTTGCACTGGCAGCTCAAGGTCTAAACCAACATTTACATGGGAGAGAACGGCGATGTGGGAGGTCAGAGGCCATCCGAGGACCCAGCATGTATTCAGAGGACAGGAGTCAGGACAGCATACAGTTTAATGCTAGCTGGTATTTCATAAAAAAAAAAACCCACACACATCTGCCCTGGAATCACCTCTGCCTGTGCAAGCCCCAGGACCGGAGCTGCCCAGCTCCCCAGGGATGCTCACCTTTTTGGCCTCCTTTAAACGTTTCTGGAGATCAGCCTGTTGTTCTTGCATTTTACTCTTCCATTCTTGCACCTGCTCCAGCTGGATCTTGTACTTCTCGAGCTCTTTCAGCTTCGCTTTGTCTTCATTTCGCTTTATCTTCAGAGTCTCCAATTTCTCCTCCAGGTCCCTGACTTGAGAACGCAAATTTTCCTCCTCCTACAACATCAAACCAAGAATTACCGAAAGGAGCAGCAACGTCCTTTGGAGAGAGCTCCAGATACATTAATTTAACCCCCACAGAACCCGACCCATCAGCTAGCCTGTGTTTTGGCATCATTACTGGGGCACTTTTAGAAGAACAGGTCACTCCACACTTGCAGCTACAGAGTCCGTCTGTCATTTTCATAGAATCATAGAATCGTCATGGTTCGAAGAGACCTCAAAGATCAAGTCCAACCGCAAAATTTTAATCTGCTGAGTTTTACTACACGTGCAACACACGATGAATGTTCCTCGACACACTGACAAAAACCTTTTGGCTGGCAAAAGGTCCTGAGCACCTTGCTTTTGATTTCACTGGGATCTACAGATGCCTAAATCTTTTAAAAAACAAAACCCCCAAACCCCCCACCACTAACATGTCCAAGTTCACCCATCAGTAACTCTTCTCCTGCTCCCACTCGGAGCAGAGCAATGGCATGCAAGAAACACGTTTTCATAAACAGAACGAGATGGGGCAGCAAGGGTCCGCCAGCCCAAGGGGCAGGAGGGTACTGCCTTCCAGCCGCAGTGCGTTTAGTGATCAGCGCGTACTTCACAAACATGCTCGCACACACACACACACACATGCAGGGCGCACCGCAGGCTGTGCATTCGTGCCGCAAGTTCACTGCGCTCGGGGCGAGCTGCTCCCCTTTCTTCCTCCCCAACACCCCCCGACAGACCTTTGGAGGGGGGGGTCTCCCCCGCGCTCCCTACCCGGGGCTCGGTGTGTCAGACCCAGGGCAGCTCTACGGGGGCGAGCAGGGTACAAGCCCAAAACCCGGGACCCCTCCTGCCTCAGCAGGGCAAATCCTCAAATGGTCTCTGCTGTGCACCCCAGATCGGCTTGCACAGCGGCCCCAGACTTCCCCGAGGCTTTTCTAGCCCATTCCCCGCAGAGAGGTGGGTGCCTCGGGCCGTCCCGCAGCACCGCTGGCTGACCAGTACCCCTCTGAATTCACCCCCTTCTGCTCTGAGTGTATTTGGGCTGCACTCCTTGGGCTTCATCATGAAACCAGCTTTACCTGTAGCAAAAGATACGGCCCGAGGACGGTACCAACACCAGTCCAGTGACACAGCTCTGCAGCCGTGTCCTGCCGCATTATCTTCAGTCCAAAGCCAACAGTGGCTGAAATGAAAGCCAGTGCATGGAAAAAGGGACACAGGCTTGAGATTTCCAACGAGATGCAAACGCAGCCCCCCCGGGGGGTCACGTCCCATCAGCTATAACCGTTCCCTGCCACAAGCCTCTTACGCTCCAAGGGGAAAGGCTTTAAAACACCGGCGAGGTTGGCACTGTGGTTCTCAACGGCTGTGCTGTAACTGCAGAGCTGCCCGGGCAGCAAGGGAAGCCCCGCTCAAGCAGCACCCCGTTATACGGGTATCGCACAGCCAGGCACGAGCTGTTACTGGAGAGCGAGTTAGGTCAAAGCAAAACCCTCGGCTCCCCGTTATGGAGCTGATGGGGCGATTTCCACATGCACACTCATCAAACCAGAGCCTGGGGACAGCGGTCACCTGGCCTTCATGGAGACACTGAGACGCTGCCGAGCTGTTCTGGAGACAGAGAATACCTTCAGTTATGCTGGCCTGCCTTGGGCACAGATCATACATCTAAAGTACACTCGTGTTTTCCAGAACGGGAGAATAACTGAGGCTGGGAGAGGTGAGTGGAGGTCTCTGCTCCACCTCCTTGCTCAGTCGGGCTCAGCGGATCAGGCTGCTCAGGACCTCGTCCGGCCAAGCTCCGGCTGTCTGCAAGGACGAGGTCCTGCAGCCCCTCTAGACCCACCCTGGTGTTTGACCGCCCTCACCATGAGAGCTCTTCCCTAACACCAGCTGGAACGTCCTGCGCTGCCACTCACGCCTGTCGCCTTGTTCCCCATCACCGCACACCTTTGAGGAAAGCCCAGTGTCCGTGCTGTTTAAAGAAAACCCCAGTTCCACCCGAGGTCCCATCTTTTTTAAATTCTGTAAATAAGTGTTGGTGCTGTACAAGAGACCCCAGGCTCCCCCTGGTACCCAGACTTTGCAGTCCCACTTCCCATCGCTTGCAGCCCTCACAGCTGCTGCGAGAGCCCTCGCAAAGAGCAGGGCGGCTGCCCGAAGCCCCGGCAAGTCAGTCTTCAATTAGCCCAGATAGCCCCCCCAGAGATGGCCCTGTGCTATTCACCAGTGCCCGCTCCATCCCAGAGCAGCATCCCTGTAATCCCCCGGTGAGCTCCCACCAGGGAAAACTGATCCTGTATTTGCTGGTTCCTTTTCGGCCAGACCAGCTCCCACGGCCAGAGAAAGGCTGACGCCAGCGCAGCGGTGCCTGGGCACGGGGCTGCGGCCAAGGGCAGGAGAAGGGGACACGACCCCCCTCCTCTGGCAGTAGCACAGGGTTAAAGCAGCCTCATCACTAAAGCTTAAAACCACAAAGCTGGGTGACATTAAGGAACAGACTTTCTAAAGAAAAAACCTACAGGAAAACCACACAGATTTCTCCTCTGCTGCTTTCTCAACCCTGGACACACAGATGCCACCAGTACTATCCAACAAACAGGTTTTGCACCCATAACATGAAGAGTCCTTGTGGGTGACTCGGGGCGCGGGGACACCCCTTCTTCACACCAGGTGGTGGCTTTTCCAGCCCCTCCCTCAATACACAACCTCAGAGCGAGTTCTTTGTCCTCTCATGCTATTAATTCTTTGCCCTCATGCCCCAAATCTTTCACAAGCTCCATTTTTAACTAATTAATACAAAGCAGGACGGAAGTAATGGAAAACTATTTTAAAGATCAAAAATGGAATAACTAAGCTGATACAATTATTAGAAATACCCACATTTGGGAAGTATTGGAGGTCTCTAAGCAGTCTTTGTATCTGAAAGCAGGAGGGTCCCCAAAGCGCATCCACTGCTGGTCCCTCCACTCCAGCTCACCCAACACCAGTGGGTGGAGGGGGCAGCGCCCAGGTCCCCCTCTGGGTTTAACACCATCGAGCTCTGCCCTCGCTGGCAGGTTCAAGCTCTGACTCAGAGCCTTGACCCCCCGCATGTTCACCTGCCCAACTGCTCTGACACCGCATGTATCCCACGGGGACCCGGGAGGGAGAACGTGCAATGGGAACAGAAGTAAGCTATGGAGTTCTCTTCGGAAGTGTCTTCCTGGCTTTGGAGCATCAGTTTCTGCGTGTGTCCTTGCCCAATGCCTCGCACACTCCCCTCCGTCCCCCTCCCGCAGACCCAGCACAGCCCTGCAGACGGTCACGCAAGCCCTGCGCGCTGACCAGCACCAGGACCCATCGCAGGACCTCTTCTTCCCCTCTTCCTCTTCCTCATCCTCCCACCAGTGCTGGTGGCAGGTTTTCTCTCCTCCTCCCCTTAGGAGCTACCACCCTCCACGCCGGCAGAGCCGAGACCTTACCTGGGCCACAGCTTACCTTTGTGGGCGAGGGAACCGGAGGGGCCACCGGAGAGGTCAGGGAGGGAGTTGGAATAACCGGGGCCACCAGCGGCGTCTGAGCCGGCGTGCTGGGCTCGCTGCTGCTCATCTCCCCGCCGGAGGCAGAGGCTGGGGCCCAGGGCCCAGCTGAGCCCGAGGGCCCAGCCGTGCCGCTGGATGCTGCAGAATTGGGGGTCCGAGTGGGCTGCAAAACAACATGGTCAAGGGAGAAGGTCAGATGAGCACGTTTCAAGGGAGACACTTCCACGACCCGTCCGTCTCCCTGCACTCTTCAACACCACTTCAGCTCTGGTTTCCCTTCACCAGGGCGTTTCTCCCCGTCAGCCACTGTCTCCCAGACTCGCATTTCGAGCACAAACGAAGAGCACGGTGACAGCGGAGACACCCATGAAACAGCTCTAGCTGGAGGGAGCGCATCCGCACCCTCACCGTACCCAGACCTGCAGCGTGCCGAGGACCGGCACCACGGCAGAGATTCCCCGGCAGCGTGAATGCTGGGATCTTATGCTGTGCCGGGAGGAGTCTGGCTTGGCCAAAATTCACAGATAATCAGTTGTTGAAGGGAAAGGTAAAATTTTATTATACCACTGACATAGTTAAAAAACCAAAACGTGTCTTTTTCTGAGCAGACAAGCCCTCTTTCGGGCCTGAGACAGGAGGAGTCCCTCTCCTCCCTCCTGCAATAGCAGGGACAATAAAAGATTGCCTTTTTGTACCGCATTTATTCCTTGCACTGCCACAGCCACCTATGCCATTGCCACAGATACAGACCCATCTCCCTGCTCTTCACAGTGAGGCCAGCTCACAGCCCGAGGTCCTGGGACAGGAGGGCAGACCCTGCCTACCAAGTGAGCGTGTCGAGGGGACAAAACAGGGACTAACGCAGGTCCTCAGTAGCGTTTGCAGAGGTTTTGGTGTTCCAGCTCCAGAGGATGAGACAGCAAAACCTCAAAGCACACCGAGATGGGAGCAGGGAAGGTTTTTTCCCTGTCCGTCCTCCACATCTGGGAAGATGACGGGACACATCTGCTGCTCAGCATTTGCAGGAGCCTGAGCCAGGTGCTGCTGTGTCCACGCACGTGTGCCAGTGCCACCAGCAGCTTGGGGACACGCTGCGGTGGGCACCCAGGTCCGCACCATCTGTCTGTGCCTACACCAGCTGTGGGGACAGAACACCGAATTTTAGGGGAAGAGAAGGAGAAAATGAAAGAGTAGCAAGAGTTCACCAGAGTCCAGGGAAAACCAGCGGAGCCTGGAGGAACCAGAGCAGCAGTGAGCTGCTTCATCAGTGCCTACGAGGCCATTAATTGCTGGCTGGGACCCCAGCAGCGAGGCTGGCCGTGTAACCTTGGTGATGGGAGCAGGGGAAGCCGATGCCTGAAGGAAAGCACCAGGTCCATCAGAAACCTCTGCTGTTCTCCTCACAGACCTGTATTTCTGGAGCATTCACCTCTGTGGTACCTAACGGTGTGTAAATTAATTTCCTGACTTTGTATTTTACTCCTCGAGATTGGCTTTTTGGTGCACTGCAGTTTCGCAAGGCTCAGCCCAGGCACGGACACAGCCGAGACAGGGGCAGCACCTACGCCTCTGCACTCGCCTGCTAAAGCCGCAGCAGGACGCAGATCGCAGCCGCTCACTTGCCATGCTGCAGTCGGATCTTCTGCCGACTCCTACCTTACTTAGGGCAAATCTGAGCCAATTGACTGCAACAGGTAAAACGCTCCATGGACAGACTGGTAGCTCAGCCTTCCCCTCCCGGGTGCGATCCTAGGCTCTCCTAGGGACGATGCGAGCCCCAGCCTGGGAACAGTCCCCGTGGCACCAAGCCACACGCGCTATCTCCAAGAAATACACTACTCTGAACAAGGATGCTGTTCTTGTTCCTGCTGCTTTAGGGATTAAAAACTCTTCACAGAGTGAGGTGTCAGCTTCTGTGGGGGCAGAGCAGCCTCGCCAGGGACACACCTGGTACGGTCCCACTGCTTGTCCCATCTGAGGAGCCAGAAACCTTTGCAGACCCACAACCTGGCCTTGGCAGTCGGGGTCAGGGAAGGTCCAAGGGAGAGACGTACTTCCAGAAAGGATAAAATGCGGCACGGCATCTCCCAGAGCCCTCCGCGCAGCTACTGGACAGCCTTCACTAATGGTTCCTATTGAAAATCCTTTCCCAGGAAGGTCCAAGTGGCCGGAGAAAGCAGCCTGCCAGCTGACTCCATCTGACCCGGACACATCTGTGAGCCCCACCAGAATAGGATGCGACGGCTCGAGGGGGGCCCAAAACGCTGCAGAGTGCCAGGGCAACACGGGCAACGGATCTCAACACACATGCAGGGGTGTCCTCAACTCCGTCCAATTCCTGCCCAGCGTAGATGTGAGGCCAAAGGAGAAGGAGGAGGAGGTCCCGTAGGACATCTACTTGCGGCTCCTCTCCAGCACAGGTTGCAGAGAACAAGAACACCATTCAAATCGAGGGCAATGGTACTTGGTCCACTGAGAGCTCTCCAAGCCTTGCCCTGGCAAAGGGTAAGCTCTCGGCTGGGATTGGAAACTGGCTTAAAATCCACACCAGCACGCAAAAGCTGCTTACCTTGAGCTCCCTTCTCTGCTTCACTGCGAATGCATCACATGGACTCACTGCAAAATCCTTGTCGGGTCTCAAGCGTTTGGGGAGGAGACGTTTTAGAGGAAATTCTAACCTACAGGAGTGGTGCACTCTCCTCCTCACTTTGTGGTCATATACTTCTGTCACACTTTTCCTTTCCCCCATGAGGTCCTACCTCAGCCTGAGCTCTGGCCCTACAGTGCCAAAATGACAGCTAGCAAGAGGTTTTGGGGAGGGGAAAGCTAGACGCCTGGCACCTGGGATCCCAACTGCCCTGGAACTGAACGAATCCATCGCTGCCCTGGTTGGAGTTTGTTGCACAAGCCAGTGAAAATAAAGCCCTCCCTGCAGTGCATCCCTTCACAGAAGAGATAAAAAAAAATTGTTCACCATTTATGAATCGTAAATTGGCAATGACAGAGCGCTTTGAGGATTTATCATCTCCCTTGTTTGCTGTCTTTGCAAGGCAAGTCCTGCTGGCTAGGGGCAGACCTCAGAACGTGAGCCATTCTCTGTGCTGGAATCAATACGGTCCCGGATGACACCTCTTGGCTCCCACCTCTCTCCTCCAACAGATAACCTCAAGATCCCACTGAAACGTACCCCAGACAAGCTGGGAAACGGCAGTCAGTGAGAAGCAAGCAGTAACATCAACAGGGACATCAACAGCCAGACTGGGCATCACTACGCCGCTTTTAGGCTCCACTCCGTTAGATGAGCTCCAGTGAAGAGCACAAAGCTTTTCTATAGACATTTTGCCCAGGTGGGTTGTCCCCAGTGACTGAGCCACACTCCAGAGGAGTACATTTTGCCCAGATAGGTTGTCCCCAGCGATTTAGCCGGGCCCCAGCAGAGCACATCGCGCCTGTGAGCTCCTCCAGGCTCTGCCGGACGAGATGGAAGGAGAACAGAAAATGCACCGTGGGGCTGGCACTCAACGGGTTCCTGTTGAACGCCGAGGGGATGCTCAGTGCCCCCTGACCGCAGCTGCTCACCTTGGGCCGCCGGGCGCTGGTCTGGAGGGCAACGGGAGCGGAAGGCAGAGGAGGAGAGACATTCATACAGGGACAGACAGGAGCAGAGGGACAGACCCCAGCAGCGCAGCAGCAGATGCAGCAGAGAACAAGGTAAAGGAAACAAAAGACATCACGGCAATTAGTGTGCATGGCATCAGGTGTACGAGCTCATTAACCCACGCGCCCAGGGCAGCTCCGGGTGGAACCCTGCCTGCAGAGCTCCCGCTGAAGCAGAAACAGAGCCCGGCGGCAGCTCAGCTGCTCGGTCAGGGTCCCTTGCCCGGACCAGAGATCGCTCATCAAGCTTTAGCCCCGCTTCTCCCCTTCACCAAGGTGTGGGACCCCAGAGGCAGGGAGAAGGCCGGTTCCCCGAATCCCGCACCCGGAGCCAGCCCCCGACCCCAGCAGACACCCCGGGGCAGATGAACCTCGCACTTCCAGGAGATCTTTAGCTCCAAAGGCAAAGTCTGGGCTGCGCTGGGTCAGCCTCGAACCTGCTGCCACCTTACCGCAGAGCTGCCAAGGCTTCACCAGGTTCTGCCGACAAGGAGTGGGTTTAACCCAACGCACCTTTCCGAGAGGTCACTTGGGCATCAGAT